AAGAAGTTGTTTTCCTTCAACATTCTACCATCGCTTCCATCATTGAAAGAGTGCAAGAACTAACGTTATCATTTTCACTTTTTGGGGTCTCTTACTTTGTTCATTTTTTTTTTTTCTCCCTTTTCTTCTCTCCGCTTGTTTCAAACGTCCAAGACGTCGCTTAGTCAACATGGCTGATTTTACCATTCAGTCTTGACATCAGTCTTTAGCTTTTCATAGCATCACATGGATATTCCCATATTCATTTCGCAGTTACAATAGGTAGTTCAACATTTACAACTGAAGAGGTAAAGCACTTTCATATTTCAGGGGGGAGGAAAGAGATCACGGCCGAGACAATGGTACCATAATCGTTACTTTGAAAGGTATCATCATTTAATTGCCCCCAAAATAGGCTTGGCATATTCACACTACGTAAAATACCATATTAACTGCCAGGAATTGTTATTTTGACCTTATCAATCGAGTCATAGAGTAGTAGTATAGTATCTTTCTCGACAGACACAACAACTTCATCCTATCGTTTCTTGCTATGCAAGATCCAATCTGATGATAGAATAGCGATCGAATTGGACTGCAGCACAAGTCATTTCTTTTTCTATTGCTTACTCCGTAGTCCTTTACGCCGTACTACTAGATGATATACTGCAAAGAATGCAAATGACACGAGCAATAGCCAATGTCGTCCAGATTGCCTTGCCTCTTCCTGATTGCACCAATAACTTGATGTTGGCTAGATCTTCTAAACTATCCTTAGCCCTCGTTTAGAATAATTCAAGTAATCTGCTTCATAGGCAATCACCAACACTGGTTAATAATTTATAACCTTCATTTTCATTCTTGCCCTGCCAGTCTACTAATCTAAACTGTCTAGTCTATGGCATACCTCTGGCAATTTTGTCTCCTTTCCTTCTAGACAGGAATAAGACCAGTATGGAAGTGATCAACATCTCCATATTTTTTCCCCCTCTTTCACAATCAGCAATCTCAACTTGTGCTATCCAACGCCAACTACTACTTTGAACAATAGCTAGAGCTATCTTGAACGCCAAAAATAGTAAATGAGACACGCATGCTTTCGATGCATTTACAAGAAGTAGAAATAATTCAATGCGTATAGATATTATTATTCCATTTTTCTCCATTTCTAGTAAAACTAGTAGTCGAATAGGAGAACAACAATATTTGATTGTCAACATTAGCGAGAGTTAAGAAAGTTGACACTACACGTTGCGTTATGTCAACCAGTAATGCCCTTAATTTAACCAACAAAAATGATTGATTTATGATGAATTGAGATTGAATTTTTAGGCTCAATCTACAGTTATTTTGATTGAATTTATCGGCAGTAGTTGCACACGTAGTGTACATTCCTTTTGATTGAATTAATCTTGTTAGTATCGCTGTTGTAGCGAAGTATTACTGAAAATTAGAATACAATACTTTACATTTCTGACTGCCTTTAGTTACCGTTTCTTTACATGATGGAGTTATTGAAAAGGGCATACTAGTTGAAAAGATGTACAATGCAAGTATAGACTGCCTCGTCTGATGATAGTGGACTATACTGAAGACACTTTGCAAGCAACGCATCCAGCATACTACCAAAATAATAATAGCAGTTCAATTAAAATGCCATGTTGAGGGATAGAAGAATACATTTCTAGTAAATTTATTATTATTTTTTAATTTAGCTATTAATTTGACCAGACAAAAGTATCACAGTGTAAGCTATATTCTTCTTATTTCTACTTATGACTAAGCTTAGACTTTGAACTATTCTATTTCTTTGATATCATTGACAGAAAGATGTATTTTGTTGTCTTCTTTTGGAGACGATAATTGCGTGATTATCAGTGCGGAAAATAGAGTCAATAAATAGATAGGGGGGATGTTGAAGAGTCTAGAGCGAAGGGATAGATGGCTTTTTACAGTGATCAGCCATCTTTTTCATACTCCATGTTAACGCAATAGTTCTCCTTGTATCCATTGTCATACAATAGTTATCATGCTCGATTTATAGGCACGATAATGTAGCTCTGGAATTTCTATTCCAGTACTCGACTTGCATGTTGTCCAATTTTCCATTTTTTTTTTTTTTGGGGGGGGGAGGAACGATATCTTTTATGTGATAACGCCTCTGTTGATCCTCTTAGTAGTGTTATTGATTGAAGATGATTCCAGTAGCGTTAATGAATCAATAGCCAAAACGATTGAAACTGTTCCATCTTCCAGGTGGAAAATACTCTTAACACCCTTGTACTGTATACTAGATTGACAAGATGGCAATACTATAATTTAATCGTCTACATGGATGAGAAATTGAACGTATTCATGCTGAAGTGAATTCGCGCATTGCATAGTCACCATCCTCAGTCTACCCTAGGATGAAAAAAAAATGCATCAATTATAATTATTCGATATTGCCCTTAGGAAAAGGAGAAACCATTAATACAAGTACTGTAGGAACGCAAGATAACAATACCAGACATGATTCAACAATCCTCTAATATTCGCGATCATAGATACTCATTTTTTGCTCCCTATCATTGTTATTAACATTGAGAAATAAATAGAATTGAAGTATGATATTACAGTATTACTCATTCAAGTGGATGAGAAAGCTATTCAACTGGAGAACGATTACTTCATCATTCTGGCCATTTTGCGGAATGGATGGCCTACTATAGTTTTCTCCCTCTTTTCCGTATCATGGTGTAGAACATGGAGTATGTTGCATTCAGTTAAGTTGAAATAGTGGATGATAGCTAAGATTAATTTACAGTTTGGATAGCATGGTGTTGCATTGATTCATCTCTAATAATCCAATGAAAGTGTCGTATTGAGGGTTGATGTTGGCCAAGTCTTGGACTCCTTTTGCTCAACCCCATCCACCCATGTCGACTTATTTGATATAATAGCGACATGCTTTTTACAGCCTTTTTGCTCTGTTAGACACATGGAATCTTCAATCTTGATATTATTATTTTTCTTTTATTCTGCCAAAGCGTTTTTCCAATTTTAGCCAGATCGCATTGTGCTTGAAGGAGGAAATAACAGAGAAAGAGAGGGGGAATAAAGAATTCAAGAAATGGAGATATTTTCTTTTTTTCTTTCAAATTCCTTTCCTCCCCCCCCCTAAAAATAATAGCGATAAGACTCTTGCCATAGATTGCTAATATGTCCAATGGACACCATGGCTACCAACAATTTAAGCATGCATGGCTATATAACAAACAATATCGTATATTGTCAGTTGTCGTCCATTATCATCTAATTTATAATTGATGTACCGGTGTATTGAAAGTAAATCTGTCAATTGAATGATTATTTTAGGGCTGCATGCCATATTGTAACCGAGCTCTTTAGTCTTACTTGATTAAAGATATTTTTTTTCCTCTATCCTTTTTTTAACTTTTTTTTCTTCAAGACCGACAATCGAGACTAATTGACGTTTGATATTTACAATACCTAAATAAGCAGCAATTGAATGATTTTTCAACCAACATTGAAAATGCCATTTCCACCAAATACGACATCCATCACTGATGAACCAAAACTTTGGACTTTATCCTGCCAAATAATTTAACAACAATACAGGCAAAGCTGTGATTTAGACACATGTACAATATCTACAGAAAAGGAATTATTTTGAAAGAAGTTTTAAAAGAACTTCCTTTAAAATTTATTCCTACATTTTCTATATATTCAATAGCCACACAAAATGATTCATCAGATGATATGATCATCATAGCAAAATACAACACAAGATACACATTTCTCTATAGTCGAATCCGTCATCCAAGATCATACAATATGATCGTAGTGAAAAAATACGATACAACCAAGTGAGTAAAACCTGCCATCACGGTCTAACTTCCACTACCAGTCGACTTGCCTTGAAAATTTCTCCTAAACACTCAATATCATGCAAGTTCATCATTGGAAAGAATGATGAAACGAAATATCAATTATATTATATAGTTAATTATCGTAGTGAAAAATTGACAAGGCAACAGAACGAGTGAGAAGAATTTCTTCGCGGTCTATCAACCTTTACAATTCTAGAGGAAAGGATCATCATACGCGATTACCACACGTGAAATAGTGGCCAAAGAATCGTGGTTTAGTAGTGATCCCTAGTAAAAATGATCTCCGTTAGCTAGCTCTTTCTTACCTATGGTTGATTTCAATATGGACAATCAATATTGTTTTACTTGCAAATTCACTTTTTGAACATAATATAACCATGTAAAAGTTACTCCTTCATGTTTGTCCCCTAACCATGAGTTATTAGGTATTTGAATTTCCTGACAGTTTATACAGGTTCATTTCACAAATACCGACCTACAGTCGTTTTAGTTAGTTTTTATTTTTTTTTCATGGTAAAATACCGAGACAGTCATAAAAATGATAGCCATTTTTTTTTTTCAATCCTACTTCGTCCATCGTGGAATAGATCGATCACGATTTGAACTTGATGTAAAAATTTTGAACTTTCTTAATAGATCACACGATAATAGTACGAGTAATAAGAAAATGATGCGTCAAATTCATGGGATCTCCTTGGATAAAATTATTTACATTTTGAGTCATTTTGAAAAAAAGGGGAGGAGGACATACTTAAGAATATGTTTTCTATTGACTAGCGAAAACAATTTACACATCTTGTACAGCAACCTGCAATTTTATGCTATCATCAACATGGATCCCAGTTGCTATGGATGTCTTCATAAATATCATCCATGTTCAACAACGGGCCCCATCAACTACGTGTAAACCCTGCTAGTGAAACTCTCCATTTGAGTAGCAAAAGAAACGTATTCGATGGATTTCTTGAAATGATAGGCTAAGTTTTTTTTCTCCCCTCACTTGGAACACCATCATTATTTTTACCCCATTACAGTGAAGAGTGGGTGGACAGAGCGAACATGCTGTCTGGGCGATGTTTTAGCCGTGAATATCCTTCCTTATGTGATTGAAAATAATAATATGAAATGATGGCCAACCCACGCTTGTTGACAAGGCTATGCATTACACTACTCTGTTGCTTTCTATCAAGCAATAAGCATTTTCAGCGTAATATGTTGTCATCCAAGGTTATGCCATGTATTTTTTTTTTCTTTTATGCAATGAACGGAATACTTGATGATCTATGAAATTTAAATCAATTACATTTTATGTCTTTTACCTCCAACCATGTCCATTGTTGCTAAGTGAATTAGTTCAAGTTGATCATTTTAATGTGTGCAAGTTATTTTTCTATCATGATCGACAACGACCATATTGAAATCTGTAATATCAATAATAATCGTCTACTTTTTTTTATCTGTTTCTCTTTGATAATGATAACTCTAGCAATTGGTAATGTCGAAGGCGTTCTATTGCGAAGTTTATTTCTATCGCCTTCTGGAAGTATTCGTGTTAAGGATAAATCAACGTTAACACTAAACTGCACTACATCGTCGTATAATGGTACTACCAATGTGGAAAATATTCAATGGTTTAAAATTGGCGATAATAATCAATCGTTATTGCAACCCTCTGGTCAACGTCGAGCCATAAGAGTAGGAGATCATGTTGTAGTCCAACTCCATTGGAATCGGATTAATAGTACCGACAATGGCCGATATCGATGTCAATGGTCTCAATTTAGTCAAAATAATGATGTGACTGTAAACGTTGAAGGTAACTTAAAAAAAAAAAAAGATTACTCAAATAAAGTTGCAGCCAATTTTTTTCCCCTTGATGTTATTCTACTTCTTTTTATATTTTAAAATCTATAGAGGTTGCTATCAATATTAATAGTATATAAAACATACAAATTATTACTATTACTGTATTAGAAGAGGAAAAAATCTTACTAACAAATTGTCCTTGCTAATGTAATTGCTTTCCAGTTGAAATATCTTACAGTACAGTATATGACTACCAACCAATTCGACTCTAGCTGATACAATATGATGTGTTGATTTTTCTACCTGTTATAAGCCCACTTCTTGGGAGGTGGGATGGATCCACTTATGACCACTGACAGTAGTTTTTAACCGATAATGAATCATTTATTTTTTGTTCTTCTTTCTCTGCTGTTAATTTTTATAAATAGCAATAGGTACAACTTCTCGGTTTCACAGAGTATAAAAATCGATCAATTACAGTTTATAGTCAAAATTATCCTCTACTACTTTGACATGAAATTATTATGACACTACAATGAACATAAAATAGGAGTTACCGTATAAGAATCCATGGACGCATTATCATACTGTACTGTACTTAAGTCGATACTTGCAGATACTACTGGATATGTTGTTGTAGACGATATCAAATCGATCGTTCAAAATGATGAATAATATATAAGTGGAAATGAAATAATTGTCAATTATAGCCGTTATCAAGTGTGATGATATTGTAGTTGCAATTGATATGTCATAGCCATTATTAAAATGCAATCAAAAATCAAGGTAGAATAGTGTAGATAAAATTGTTGCTATTCGAAAATCTTGACGTACGTATAATAATATTATTTCAAATTGATGAAGCTTATTGATGTAATATTTTATATCATCGATACCATGAAATAGTTGCGTTTATCCAAATGTGAAATTGACATTATCTATAGAGCTTAATCGAAGAATTAACAATAATCTTACTTAATATTAATCTTCTAACATAGTACTATAGGGTATTGTACCAATAAGTTGAAAATAGACGTATTGGTATATCATACTACCACAATAAATAAAAAATCCTAATCATTTAACTAAGATATAACATATATGGATAAAAAATAGACAAATTGTTGAAATAGAAATTGAAGGTAGTGTGTAATTAATAATAATATAATTAGGCTTATTGTAAAGGTTTGGATAATGCGCGAAAATATAATTTTAATGAGTCATCATCAGGCGTAAATGGTAGTGTCAAAAATAAATGAAAATAAAAAAATGATTCAAAATATTTCTTCAAAAGATAACGAATACTATACAGCTAAAGTAATAATATTATATGCTATCTGTTATAATACTTTGTATCATTGTTATCATATGTTCGAATGTTATTATTAGTTAAATTAATACTATTGAATAATACAGTATAATTAATATTCTATATGATTTAATTAGGCCCTCCAACATTAGCTATTACCTCAGTGAAAACGCTTTCTGGCTATGTTTATATGAGATGGAAACTTTATAACAGTGGTAATGCACCTGTACTTTATCAAGTCTCCCGCACTATTGTCAATAACGGAATAGCATCAACTAATTTAATCATCGGATGTCTGAATACAACTACAAGCTATTGTAGAACTATTGCTGTCGACTTCATTGTGGACTATTGCGTCCGAGCCGTCAGGAATCATGATATCGTAATAACGGCGTGTGTACTTCGATATAATGCTTTTGATGAAGGTATCAATAATTACAATAATTTTTCATTTTATTGAAATGACAGTATATAGAAAAACATTACTGATAATGGTCTTTCAATATTATATTAACTAGGACATGTATTCTTTTGCTAATAGATTTAGTCGTTAAGTATATACAAAAAATTGATATAAACAAGCTTAACTTTGTCTACTATCCCTTTCCTACTATAATATTTATACATGTAGACTGTCATTAGATAATAAAAACTTAGTAATTGAAGTAGTCGGCAAAGCTACAAGTAATTAATACAATTTCATTTTTATTTATGACCTTTAATATTATTACTCCGTTTTTCATTTCGTTTTTTGTATACAATATGGTATTGATAGCTATTGCATTTCAATGTATTGCCTAATATATTTCTCCTGTTCAACTGAGTATTACTAACAGTTCTGATAATTTTTACAAAAGTGCTACAAATTATAGCTAAGAAATAGGATTCATTTTAAATTAATATCAAGTAATGTTGACGCTCTTATCCTATACTTTACATTTACAGACTCTACCTATTCAAAACTCTGTAAAGATATTATGTGCTAATAGAAAGCATCGCCATTGCATTCATTAAAATTTATACATTTCTATATTGAAATTCAGTAATTACCAATTATAGCTAGTATTTCTAGTACGATTGTAACGATAATAGAATACACGTACGTATAATATCAACGATTCGTTAGGTTAACCAATAGCAATGGGGTAATTTTTGAATAAGATATACCAGGAGATAAGAAAATGTGTATACTTATAACACTATTAGCTATAATTATGTTTTTTTATACACTTTACGAGCATAGTTAAGTAGGCTCGTAATTAGCAAGTTCGTATGTTCAGTTTATTGATGGATATAAATAAGAGATGCTAAATTTTATTCAATAGCAACATCTTAACTAAAGGTCTTATTAATTCTTCTTATACTGATTAGTTGTACCATCCCCACCGATCAACTTACATGTTATTAAGGATAAAGGCCCTTACTTGAATTTAACATGGGCAACAGCACAAGATTATGCTATTTATTATGACAGAATTGTCAATCATATTCGTCTCTGCTATGATGTACGATTTCCAATCCATGGGAACCCAACGGTAAATTCATTATGACATCAATAAGTTTAATCAGTGAATTTACTCTTACTGTACACTACCTTTGTCTTATTATTTTATTTATTAATATTATTTTAAACTAAGAAATGTACGTACCTTTATCTGAATACTTCTACTATTATCTCTATATTATGTATTTCTAGTATTTTCAGGGATAGTTGATATAGTACGCCTTTTATGATACTAAATAATAATCTAGTTATAATTAGAAACGAAAATCTATTACAGTTGAATTGGAGTTGCCTTAATGATCCAATTATAAGATTTAATTAGGTGTATTGTTATTATCGTAATTTATATTACCTTATATGTCTTGCATTATTATCAGTAAAAACAGAATTTGGAATTATGAATTAATTTATTGCGCTCCACGTGATTTAATTTCGTTACAAAAACAACTACCTATTTTTAAATGGTTGTATAAATAATTTCATTACTTCAAAAATTATTGAGATATCTAACAGAAGAGATCTAATATTGGTATATATTTTTTTCAGTGCCTTGATTTGAATAAACATCGCAAGGCATACTCATTTAATAATAATTTATTACAATATGGCTATCTCTATGAGTTCTACCTAAGGACTGTTGCCAAAAATAACAAGCAAAGCGCACCATCGTCTAAAATATATACCAACTACTACGAATCTAGTAAGTGTTATTGTTTATAATATATGATTATTTCAATAACTATGGTACTACATTATCCAATTAGGCACAGTAGAATACATTTCTAGGTAGTGATATAGATGCAAGCTAAAGTATTAAATTACAGTGCTCACAACATCAATTTTATACTTAATGTAGTTGCTAAAATATTATACACCAGTAGAGATATTATGCGTATTTTTATACATTGTTATTTATACCAGAACATCTAAATTATATTCATCTTTTTATTGTAGCTCCAACAGGAAGTCCAGAGAAATTTATGTGCAATTGTAAACAACCCAGTTTTCTAAAATTGAAACGAAATTGTTCGTTCACATGGGAGGTAATACACATATACAATGTCTACATTTATGACATATATTCACTGCTGTTGAATTCATTCACAGCTAATCTCGTAGGCTGTAGCTAATAATTGTAAATCATTGCACTGTATAATAACAATATTTATAGAATACTGTATTGTATTTTGTGGACACGATTAATTAATCAAATGTATAAGTATAGCTTCATTTTGCGTAATCGATAATTGTAATTGATTTATTTCTATATTTTAGTATCCACTTCAACGAAGAAATGGTAATTTAACTCATGCCTACATCAATTTAGTACCATTTAATAATCCTGAAGGAATTGAATATCGTTGTATCGATGGTAATAAATTTCAAGCTGAATTCATACTTTGGACTAATACTTCATACAATGGCAGTATTGTTGTATCTAACTCTATCGGCAATAGCTCAAAAGCGCATTGCATGATCGACCTAGCCTACAAGCCGATAACAGGTTTGAAAGATTGCATTTATATATAGCTTACAATCGATAAAATTAATACAGGATGAATGCAAATAATATTATATAACTTATACAGTATCTACATATCGTAGATCGCATACATAATGAATTAACGTAATAGATATATATATATATATATATATTTTGAATTACTAGTGATACCCATGACAACCGATTTTGTTCCGTATACGTCATCCTATTCACCAGCTGATCAAGGATCACCACTTATGGTTATTACAACATGTGTTTTATCAGTATGCCTATCGCTACTTTTGCTCATGCTTTCGATTGTGCTGTGGAGATATTATTCATCAAGGTAAAAACTATATTACTATAAGACATTCTAATATTCTTTTAATTGTGTTGCTTTTACGCTAAGAGATAGTACTATTATAGTATTTACTAATTCCCATTAGATATAATTCTACTGTATATTTATTTACGTTTATTTTCGTATATAACATAAATGAATTTCTAAATTATTTTATCAATAGAAGAAGGAAGAAAACAGTCACAGAATCATCTCAGAATACGGTAAGAAAATACTACCGATACCATGCTATCTAGTAATAACATTATCAATATTTTTTACTAGTTATTATACAGAGAAATGATCTAATTATGGTAATTAATTCTTATAACATATTAAGTCATTCCTCTTTTTTAATATTAGCATGTTCAAAGCCGTCCATTACCTCCCCTTCCTTCAAATTATGATTACGTAGATGTCAAAGATATCTTAAAGACCGATTATACCGAATGGACTGATATGCACGATCAGGACACTTTCTTACATGATTTCCCTATTACTGATGATAAGTTACCTGACGTTAATATTTTACAAAGTGTCAAGAACAAGACTATAATTAAAGAACCTCAAAATGATATTGAAGTCATTAATAATCAAGTTGCTTGCATCGACAACGACTATAATACTAAGAAAGTTTACGATTTATCACCAGAATGTAAAAAAGAAGGATCATTTAGTACTTCACCTGGAGGCGGTATATCATTAGGTTATTCAAGTTGTAGATTTGAAATCAAAGTAGCATCAGAAGAGCTGACATCATCATCTTCTTCTGGAGAATATATGCAGGTAACTCTACCCCCGTTACGAAATGAAAACGGTACTTTGGAGTAAGTTATTATCGTTTATAAGGCAAGGGAAAATTATATCTTGTACATGCTTATTCTTAATAAAGTGACAGAAAAACAAGGCCAGTTATCATTACTAATTCCTTAGCCAGATTACTATTGAGCACTTCTGGCAGTAATTATTGTTGTTACTACTATGGAATAGAGATTTTTTATATAAATTTTATGGCTATCCACAGCTTACTTTAGTTAAGCTATGATAAAAATTTTATAGCACGAATTAAATAATATTGTGCTGGAGAAGAGAAACTTTGTAAAATATAACTAAGATGCAGCCATAAAATAGATAACACATAGATATGTAATATGCATACTCTATGCAATACGGTTATAGTGTTGCGTATGCAACTTTGATTTACTATCATAAACTAATCTATTTTATCTCTATAATTGCGTTATTATTTTAAGATAATGATATTGTGGTAACGATTATTGTTGCCTGGTTCAGATTTTTAAATCAGTAACATAGCATTTGTTAAATAATTATACTTGATTTTAGTTCACCTTCAGTTGCAGCCATAACGATGGCCGTGTATATCAGTAATATTCGTTTGATCAAATCTAGCCATTCATTTTGCGGGTGTGATTAACTTTCTTGTTCAGTCGATTTGATTTGGCCGATACGATTTTAGTATTATAATGCATACTGTATAAAGATAGTAAAATACAGACGTAGAAAATGAAATGGTAATTAATTTTATGTCACTTAAATATTCCATATATACACAGTATATTCTATTCCTTTCTATAATATATATATATATCTATATATGTATATGCATATGTATAATGCATTTTGAGTCTATAAGACTTCCAGATGCATTACATGAATTTAAGTTTGTAACCTTTATAACTTTTCCAATATTACTATCAGAATGATCTTATTTCAGTTGACGCCATCAATACTTCTCGTTCTATTGAATTAATATCAATGTAGTTGGCAAGAGAACAGCTCTCATTTTTATCAGATTTAACATTATCCATTAGATTATTTATTGTATTATTGTAATTATTATCATTATTAACGTAATATTATAGTATTATAATCACCGCCGGAAAAACAAATTTCAAGTATTAGATTAGATTAGAGTCATCACAAATTTTCTCTCTTCTCGAATTCATGGGCTTTGTTAATTAAACTAAAAAAGCAGTTGTATTCTCTATTGTGAGTAATATTGTTATTGAAATATATCTTTTTAATGTGATATACGAATGTTTTAAGAGATATTATTGTAGATGGCTGTCAAAGTAATTATCTTCCTTAATTAAAGATGAATCTCACATACGCTCTATTTACTCGTACAGAGTATAGTCTACAGTACTGATGTACTGATATTACTGATATTAGATGTAGTTAGCTCGATTCATATCATAAACCATAATCGTAATATTGTATTATTATTTATGTTAAGGAAGACATTCATATAAAATTGCTAAGCAAACGGATCTAACGATTTCATCCTTGCAGCACAGTTTTTTTTATTGATCCACTTATATTGTGTGTTTGGCGATTCTTATTATTAAATTTTAATTTTATAAATATGGTGTTTCACACTGTATATGTAAATTTATAAACCCTTAAGAACACATTGTCCAATATGATATTGTCTACTCGTTATAATTATCACTATAATTATGATCGTTTGTAGGCAAAAATAAATCAGTTCCGTGAAATTTTTGGCCTGTAACAATTGATTTACAGGAAAAAAAAATTACCCTCAGCAATTCCCATTCCTTTTATTGTTATAATAAGAGAGGACTACCGTTTCTGTGTAATGAGCACAACTGGATTACGCAACAAAGCAGTTAAGATGTCTACCATCTTTAACGTCTTTAAAATGTGTGGACGGCTTATAAGATCCAATTTACGTATTTCAGAAGACAATTGCATTCCTCTAAAAGTATCTTGCATGGTTGTTTCGATTACATTATTTGCACATACTGTATAGTATGAGTACAATGCTGTCTGTAAGCGAAAAGTAAAATATGGTGGGGTGTCTAAATTTCTTGTTACTCATTAATTATTAATAGCAGTTAGCTGAGTATATCATCTAGTTTATTTTTGGGGATTTCGCTCGAAATTGTTACGTATAATTACTGAGAATACCCTATGAAGTTTCTTAGCAGTAATTGAAAACACAGAAGAAGTGCATGGATTTAGCTGGTAACGCTGTGACTGAGAACCAAAGCTAGTGGTGTAACGAGCCGCATGCGATTCTATATTATCTCAGTTGAATTAACTATGAAGAAAAAAATGTCATGCAGTAAATTTGATTTATCAATTGCGGTAGTACCTATCAGAGCAACTGTAGATGCAGTATATACTCGTATTCTACGTAAAACAATTATTTACAATGATAATGTCGACTGTTATATTTCCTGCTGCTTTCTTTCCATGCAGTGCAATTAGTATCCGTTAATTTATTTGCGTGTGAAGTGATCGGGTTCTATGCTAGTAATTTATATAGTTAAATGAGTCTAGTATACTGTACAGCTTTTCAATTATTTATTGACCGTATACTTCAGTAGGAAGAAGAAAACTCATGTCAGTTTTACGGTGTACTACCTTGGCTTTTACTGCAGACTCAGACAAGATGATCGATCGAAGGGAGTACAAGGTTAAAAGTGTGAGAGAGGTTGATTGATTTAGCAAGACATTGTTGTGTATGGAAGATAGTATCTATTTACCCCTCGTTAACGACTAAGAAGCGAACACAACGGACATAACCCGATTACATGATACTGCACAATTTTATGAAGATTGCGGATGAGAAAAGCATAAGCATGATCGTACACTTTTACACTGTGTATAGAATAGACTAATTAATAGTACCTCAAGATCGCTACTGAGTTTTGAATGAGCAGTCGTAAATTTCGTAGCTTATTGCAATTCCAGGGACTTACTAAACAAAAATTGTACCCTCTTGTCATCATCAAGTTTCTTCTGTTCCCAAAAGAGAAGAACGGACATCAAACAAGGCCTATAGTCCAAATAATTGGGAGGCTGATCGGTTGTAAGTACTTTGCGCTAAACATTTTAAACAGCCGATTTTACAAATTGGCAGAATAGCCAGTATTCTGTTGCAATTATTGATTGTTCTCCATTAAAGTTAGTATGCTTGAAATTGTCAACACTATTCTGTATGAAACGACAGTAAAACCAACAACTATGAGAGGAAAAGAGAGGGACAGATCCCAGGGATCATATGTAATACGCGTCTATGGCCATCAAAAAAAATTTTCCAAAACAGATAATAATAATATCCCCTTACACAGAGTAGCTAATTATCCGCAAAATAAGCTCTCCGTTCCAAGGCTTTTTATCTATCTTAGAGTAGCAAACTATGGGCAAAAGGGGCCCGAAATTTCCCCCAGTGAGTATACGTAAGATATAAAACGAGTTGCTAGATTGGCTTTGCAAAGTACAATATCTGAATGACTATATACACTTTCCGTGTTACCATATAGTAGTAGAATGATCGAAAAAATGATACGCTGCTAGTGGATCTGTTCAAGGTTCATTACTGAATCAATTCAATCTACTTCGACTACATCTTTTGGATGAGTTTTAGTTCAAGGAATACTGAACTCGTTCCAAGTAGTTGTCTTTAAAGTAAGATTTTACGCAAAGCTTTGAAGACATCTAGTTGGACTACTGTCTTCTGGATGTGTTTTAGTTCAAAGTAGGATATTGTGCAAAACTTTGCAGACATCTAGTTGGACTACTGTCTTCTGGATGCGTTTTAGTTCAAAGTAGGATATTGTGCAAAACTTTGCAGACATCTAGTTGGACTGCTGTCTTCTGGATGAGTTTTAGTTCAAGGAATACTGAACTCGTTCCAAGTAGTTGTCTTTAAAGTAAGATATTGCGCAAAGCTTTGAAGACATCTAGTTGGACTACTGTTTTCTGGATGAGTTTTGGTTCAAAATAGGATATTGTGCAAAACTTTGCAGACATCTAGTTGGACTGTGTTGGACTACTGTCTTCTGGATGAGTTTTAGTTCAAGTAGGATATTGTGCAAAACTTTGCAGATATCTAGTTGGACTCTGTTGGACTACTGTCTTGTGGATGCGTTTTAGTTCAAGTAGGATATTGTGCAAAACTTTGCAGACATCTAGTTGAACTACTGTCTTCTGGATGAATTTTAGTTCAAGGAATACTGAACTCGTTGCAAGTTGTTGTCCGATATTGCAAAGTAGTAGTTGTAGGATATTGCTCAAACACGCAATTTACTGTATGATTTCAGTGGTAGCATATTGTACGATATATAAGAGAATGAGGAGAGAAAGGTTAGGCTACGAGTGGTATAGCACGACCAGGCTGGCTGTAGCATGCGCAGAATGCAGCCATCCAGTAGCAAAAGCACCAAGGTGCAGAGGTAGGAGTTCCTCGAGCTTGGCTTGCAAACAAATGCAAATACGACAGTGGTTGAGCATTTCTGTCATCAATTGCAAAGATGGTCAACCGGAAATTATTACAGCTATCACTGCAATCTTTAATGGCTCATGGTTGCTTGGAGGAAAAAGAAACCAAAGCTTTAATCCAGAAATGCTGCCAATCTTGCGAAGGTATGACTTCCAGTGGTTGGAGAGGCGTATATAGGGTTAAGGGACATGATGCAACTTGTTGTTAATCTTCCCACTCCATTTTTCTGTATTGTCTATGCTATCGATTCTAGTTAGTAGAATTAAAATGGTCGTTTTTCTTGATTAGTTTTTTCCCCTCTATCATACCAGTACTATTGCATAATGTAAGTCGAGCGCAGTAAACGATAATTTGCGACTACCTCCAGTCTTGTAAAGGTGTCAACTGTCGTCTTTGCAACTGCAGAATTTGCGCGCCATAACCACAACAAGCTTGCGAAACTAGACATAGATACATCGTACTAGTGAAACTGTAGCAATAGAATGTCACCATTCTAGTTCAAGTTTTAGCGTAAATAATATGTGTAATACAGGCTACAGAGTGATTGATTCGGTATAATATGGTGGGTGAACTTCAATTAGTCTAACAAATAGCACTCCAAATGGAATGGTAATGCATACATACCTGTAATTGCTTCAAGTATGAAGGCTAATAAAGCTATACTGTAAATACGTTACTGAAAACTAAGTCCTGCTACTTTTCGTAGACGATACAGACTCGAGAAAGTGGAAACTTGCGCCCCTTATCCTAGATATTGTAGAAAGATGAAAGTTCTTCACCTATTTTTCTTTATGTACAGTACTGTACTACTTTGCGTTGCTCGGTCATGCGAACACATCGATCGTGAGCAAGACTTACTGTACAAGTCGATATTACTATTTAAAATAGTTAAAATACACTATCTACTGTATATTACAGAAAATTTCTCCAATGATATATTCCGATCGATTATTAAAGAAATTAATACTCGGATTAAAAAATTCTCATTCGAAATCCGCCATGGAGCCTGTGAAGATGACGATGGCCAAGTGTACTATTGCTATGTAAGTTCGTGTAAACAAACTAATGCTATTGACTGCCTCTAGTTATATCAAATACTATCATTGTAACACGCGTGAAACTTTCAGAATATATGTCTGCGACATACTGACTCTAAAGAGATATCATTAGGTGAATACGAAAGAGGATAACCATGCCAAGTTAGCAACTTTCTACTCTGTTAACGAACTTGTCTTCTTCAACTCTATTGTAAGTTTGCAGAACGTGAGATTAATTTTTCATGCCAATCTTATTGCAATACATGTGATCTCTTCCTTTTCATCAATGTAGCTTTTAATCGACGACGTAGATATCACAATACAGAGTATTACACATGATAGTTATACAATTGTGCAGATATCCAGCTTTACTTTCTGTCACATGTATTTAGTTAGAGCAAGTGGTAGCCTCACCCGACGGACTTGTAATTGAAAATACTATTCTGCAAGCTAGGGAACAATTTACTGCACGTGCTGCTCAGGTTGGTTAAAAAAATGTTCTCTATACAAGAGTGTATGTGATATCGTTATACTACGCATTGACTAAATATATTTAATGCTCTCCAGCTAGACTATCTAAATCTTAATCATGTTGATTATATTATTCTACAGCGCTCGCTCGCTCGCTCGCTTTCTCACCTTGTCAAAGTAATGGTGTTATTAGTGCGTTGAGGCAAAAATAGATCAGTTCAGAACTTAAGTTGTAACGGATTGCTTGCTGACATATTAGCTTTCCTAAATTTATATTTTTATCTACAGTAGAATTATTTACTTCATCAATAACCTTGGCAACCTTAAATAGAAACCGTTTGATAACCTTAACTGTTGCCTAAATTTTATGACCACCACTTCTAAGGAAGACTTCATTAACACTATAGGAATTTCTTGATCGACTAGTATGTGATAAATGGTTATCACGAACTGAAGATAAAGAATATCACCTGGGTCCACGCTCTTTACTTGATCTTCTGCCATTCCTTCAAAATAGAATCAATTCAATTTGTTCTATTTGTTCATCTTTAGCCATACGAGTAAGAAATATCGATGTTCATTGAAAGAATTTATTACATAGTAGTTTACAGTATGGTCTACGCTACATATCTAATATAACTTTATATAAAATCGACAATTTCAGGCCCAACAATGCCCAAGCTGTCTAAGTAAAGCCCACGTTCATTGCTTATCAAGATTTGCCAGTGGCAGGTTAGTTAAAACTTATTTTACAAAGCACTACAGCATACGCAATTCTAACATAACCTGTCCTGGTTATTTCTTACATTGCATGACTTGAAGATATTTTCGGACTAACTTAATATGCGTAATTCTTGTTTGTTTTCAGGAATTTTATTAAATGTCCACATTGTGATGAAGATTGGAAATGGAAGGATTGTGATTAAATATTATTGGATAGCAATTTGTTTCAGATGTCCATCACTAATTCCGTTATAAATCTTACCAAATTTTTGGCGAAAATGTCGATATAGAATACCTCTGTAACCCTATCTTACTGCTCCGATTTGTTATTTGCAGCTGTTGCATACTGTTCTGTAACAGATATATGCATACAAGCCTATTACTGTAATATACGACGTCATGTACTATTTATGTACAACAGTTTACATTGTGGTATTGACTGGCATTCTGTTTATAATTTTTTCATGACTTTTAATAGTGCAATAAAGTATTCCTTTTCAATTGTTTTCCTAAAGTTTTACAAGATTACATTTTTTATTTTATTCATTTAATATTCAACCTACAGGAGACTTAATATAACCCGTGATAGCGATCGTTTGGCATGACTTATTATTAATACAATATTAAAAATAAAATTGTCTAAATTACTAAAGGTTAGCCAAATGATGATAGTTATTTTCAATTACGTCAATTATAAGAAAAGATGTATATTCGCGCTTACATTTCGGAGTTACAAATAATTTCATCCTATACGTAGACAAAAATTGTTACATAGCATATGGTAATGCAATATCTGCAGCCTGATATCAGCTAATAGCTAATAAATTAACTTGGTATTACGGAAAATCAATTACAATAACGCTTATAATTGCTCGCATCGCTATCTATACTGTTAAAAGAAATCCCAAATCCAATTACAAAATAAGTCTCATCAAGATATAAATCTATTATAAATCACTACCATATAAGAATTTCGGTCAATGTAGTATAAACGGATACTCAGTAGTTCAATGTACTACCTTTCTGTACAATTTCAGCCTTTAACTGCTGTTAAATACTTGCATTGATTAACAATTTGCAATAGTATATCTAACATTCTTGTGGAAATGGCAACTTAGTGTCATTATACATACGATGATTTAATTTGCGTCTTATTCATAGAGTGTTATACAGGGATATAGAACTATTGCTCGAAGCTATAAAGAATCTTACAAAATGTACCATACTCGCAGATGATACTTTTATAGAAAGAAATATACTGTACATAAACTGCACCGTTCTGACGCATACTAACATAGATAGCGTTTGAAACATAATATAATTATATACAGACGCTTTCGTATTATGTGCGTTGCTTTCGTCGAATAGGGCGCCGAATTTTCCTTGTCGCTGTAGCTCCCGCACCTTGATTACTGTCATTTGAACTAGCACCAAAAGTAAACGTAGGGGCATTTTGACTACCACCAAAGTTAAACCCGCTAGGATTTACACTAGTATTACCAGCAGCGCCAAAATTGAAACCACTTTGTTGAACTTGTGGTGTCGCGCTTGGATTAGAACCGAATGCAAATCCTCCTGGATTAGATGATCCGTTAGCTCCAAATTGGAAGGCTGGCGTATTTTGCGAACCACTCGAAGCATTAGGCCATGTGTTATTATTAGAGCTATTATTATTATTATTGTTATTGTTGCTATTATTTCCAAATGAGAACCCTTGTGGCTGCTGCTGCCCAATTGCACTAGATGAAGTATTACCAAAAGCAGAAGTTGAGTTGGGCAAATTCGTTTGTGGAGTATTACCTGTAAAGGAAAATCCAGTAAAAGACGATGACGTTGTTGTCGGAGGACCAAAACTGAATCCATCAGGAACGGATTTATTTCCTGAAGTATTTTGTCCAAATCCACTAACTGTTGTACTATCTTTGGTTGTTTGATTAAAGGCATTATTTACGTCAGCGGATGCGGTAGTATTTGATGTTGAGCCAAAAGGTCCAACCGAACCTGTGCTATTGTTGGAATTATTATTCTGTTGGCCGAAAGTGAAGATACTATTGGAAGGTTGTTGCTGCTCGAATGCAACTTTATTGTTACCAATATTACTATTAGGAGCAGCAGAAGATGTAGCATTACTTGCCTGGCCAAAATTAAAACCAGTATTTGTTTTGGGCAAAGTCTGAGTAAAAGGAGAGCTGCTTTGAGCTTGTGTCTGTCCAAAAGTGAAGTTACTAGTAGATATAGTACTAGTTGTAATTGGTTTATTTACTGCTGAGCTACCAAATGCAAATTTTGGTTCAGACGTGGTTGCTGTCGTTGTCGAAGAAGTCTGATTGAATGAAAATAGATTGGAAGATGACAAAGTATCTTTTTGACCAAAGGTGCCCGCAATGGTTGTTGTATTTTGGGTGTTTGGTGCTGTTGATGTAAACTGACCAAATTTAAAATCTTCACCAGAAGCCGTTGTAGTAGCATCTGCTGATTTACCAAAAGTAAACATGGCTGTAGGATTCGATGCTATTTTCGGAGACGGGGCATTTTCAGATTTAGTGACATTAAGAGCTATGTTAGGCATACTACTATCATTCTTTGCAGCAGAGGCAGTAGTATTTCCAAAGGAGAATGTCACCGCATCCGGTTTTTTAGCCGCTGCATCGCTCCCTATAAAGCCGCCACTGCCAATTGTTGGCTGTACAAAAAATTTATTGTATACAATAATATTAATACTATTAGCCTGTAGACGATTTTCATATTGTAACAGTAATAATTAGCTGTAAATAAGTACGATAAGAAAGATTAAAATATTTCACCATGTCCGATAACTACTAACTTGAACGGCTGTTTCAGGAAATTTGATTGTAGATGCTTTACCACTAGTTGTATTACCAAAAGGTTGAGATTTTTCAATATCTTTGTTACTTGTAATAACGCTTGAAGTAGTAACTGCAACATCTGGAGTAGCTGACTCTGCCGTTGCTGGTGCATCGCTGGTAACTTTTGACTATATAAATATTGCAATAGCTAATATCAGTAAACAATTACAACTCAATCGAGGCAAATAGAAAAACTGTAGTTACGGTAACCATATCACATTCTATACGTGCCTGAGCCTTATCTCCAGATGCTTTAATTGGATATTGAGGGATAGGAGGCTTACCCATTGTTGATCTGTAAGCCTATACATGTAAATAATTAGATCAATACATTAACAAAAGATAAAATCTAACATTGATACAGTAATTATCTTAATCCAAGTATTAAAGCATTTTCAAAAATCATACATGTGGTTTTTCCGCTTTGCTTTCTGATTTAGCAGCAATATCGACTAAATGAAATAATAATATTAGAAGCATGTATCTTATCAAACAATACCATGCATGCAAGAATGGCTTACCTGTTTTTTGATCTTCAGTTGGCTTTGTGTCATTACCACCAAACGTAAAATTAAAATTACCTGAACTTGGTTGGTTTAAATCATCAGTTTTATTTGTAGGTTGGCTGCCAAAAGTAAATATCGGAGCCTTAGTGCCGATATCAGTCTTTGTTTCCGCTATACTAATATTTCCACTATCATTGTCTGATTTTTTACTGCCAGTTGAGAAATTAAATTTGAAACCAGATGAACCTTCATTTTCACCTCCCTGCCCAAATATAGCAGGGTTACCCGCTTTATTAGTGCTAATGGAATTCTTATTTGCAGGTGTAAACTTGAATCCGCCTTCTAATCCTGATGAAGTACTCTCAGAAGCGACCGACGTCGATATTAGTTTAAATTGATTATTTGATGATACTTGAGTCGTTTTACTATCAAAAGTAAATCCGCCGGCGTCTATTTGATCAGTAGTGCTACCAAATTTAATTTCAGGAGGAAGAGTAGACTTCAATTTTTCATTGCTTTTATCTATCAATAAAAACGTTAATTAATATATTAAGTTAAGTTAATTGAGTAACAATGTGTTATTGACAGTAGAAATCATAGCTAGTACGTCGAGAAAAGTTTACCTTGACTATACTCATTTTTACTCGATCCAGGTTTACTAGCATTACATGCAATACACTCATTATCTGATTCTCCATTTCGTACAAAACACACTTGACATTCCCAGGTATTTTTAGGTACCGATATCTTATTCCATAAGCTTGGGGTCTTAGTATCACTAGGTTGGCTATCTGTAGCCGGTTTCTTTGTTTCACAAGCGATATTTTTTTCATCGGGAACAGTGAATAAATTTAGTGGTTTTTTCTCATCTGCAGTTTTCGTTGGTACAACTTTACTATCCTGATAAGCAATACATTTGCTTTCAGATTGATTGTTACGAATCAAACTAGTCTGGCATTCCGAAGTATCTTGATCATTTGATTTACTCCAAAGATTAGGTACTTTGCTATCGGATTTGCTAGGATTTTTAGATTCAGGAACGGAAACCAATAATGGCGATTTATTGAAATCTACTTTAATGTTATGTGAATCTTTATCAGTTAATCCCATCTTAGCTTTAGATTCGGTAGAATTCCCAAAGCTAAACTGATCAATCTTATTCTCCATCTTTCCTCCTTGATTCTTTTCATTGCTGCATTTTGAAGTAATTTTTTCAGATCAAACATTCTTTATACAAATACGGTAATTGAAGCAAAAACTAACCTTGACACAATTTTAGAGCTCAACGAACTAAAATGATATTCTTCATCCTATTTAATTGTAAAGGTAAAATGAATTACGTCTAACAATGATAATTGGATCGTTAATTCATTCTAACTGTTGTTACAAAAAAAAGGAATTATGTTACATAATCATTTACTTCGTCCTTATACGATGCACTAGATTTAGGAAGAGCCGATAACGGCTTTGGATTCTTGAAAGCAAAATGTTCACTTTCCTTTTCGTTCAGTACATTGGCATTATTCTAATGGTGTTCAATGGTTTTGTTATTAATAGGTGTTTTTAATATATAGTTGTCTACAGTATACTATTTACCTTCTTGTTCGTGACCGACATTGGCTTCTCATCTTTTACTGCAGAGCTAAAATTAAACTGAGGAAAACTGCTGTTACCAATTGGTAATGCTACTTTAGGTAATTCATATTCGGGGGTTTCAATTTCTGCTTCATTACGGTCAGTATTTGTACTTTTCCTAGGAACTCGCGTACTGAGTCGTGATGACTTCATTTTTCTTGAACTTGATTTTTGATAGCTTTCCGAGTTTGATGCATCACCACGATTTCTCATATTTGAACTTGATAAGGGTGTACTGGCATCAACACTATCAACTTCATCCTGCTTGCGATGATGATCACGCCACACCTTTTCCGCTAGCTCAGCACTACCGCCACTACTGTTGTAATTAGCTAATCGAGTAGTTAAAGCAGAAGATTTATCAGAGAAACGTTCAGTTTTAGTAGGAGTATCTTGACTAATAATCATTGGTTTCGTAGGAGGTGGAGACGTTACTGGTAGAACAACTCGATTACTCTTTCTTGCAGCAGAAGATGACATTCTCTCTCTTGATAGTAGTGATCTTGACTTATCAATCTGGAATGCTAACGGGGAATTCATTAGATATGATGGTTTATTCATTTCCTTCGCCGTATCAGATATGCCATCCAAAGTGGACAATATTTGTTTTGCAGCTTCGCTTATTACAGGTGATGAAGCCTCATGAACCTGAACACGGTCCCTTACACTTACTGATACTGTTTTGAACCTAAGTAAAAAGGACAATGTTAATGAATCACACCATAAGATTTCGCGGTCTGAAATTGAACATTACTGGAAGTATAAATGTATTTTTTTGTTACCTTTTAGGCGTACGTAATTCAGACAGGTTATCATTACTCTCTCTTTTAATGACCTTAATGTTGTCATTTGAGGCAATACCGCCATATCTAGTATTGCCGTCGTAAAACGATGATCTTAACAAACGATCTTTAGTTCTCCATACAGGTATAGTGCTATCGTTCGATATACGGGCATTATGCAGCTTCGATGATTTAAATGAGTTTATGGAGAATGATGGACTACGTGAGTTAATTTCATTGGTATCTGTAGTACGTAACCTATCATAAGAATCGCCCTTCTCTGTAAAGTTTAAAACCGCTTCATTTGGTCTTTGCGAAATGGTATCTACATTGAAATGCTCACCTACATTATTGACAGTAAGTAAGTAAAATTTGTCAATAAAATAAGTTAACAGCTGATAGAAAGTAGCAAATTAAAAGGAACTGTTAAAATAAGTTATTGAGATTGTTTCAAATGGTCAGCTTCTTATCATACTTCTGGTTAGAGGGTTATGATCCTGGTTATGGTCTTCAATATGACTAGAAGTTGACGGTTGGATATCTGGAATCTAAATCAATTTTAAATCACAAACATATTTTTTGATTTAGTTAAAAATAATATCCAAAAAAGGGATAGTTGTCTCATTGTACTGCATAAGAACATCAACCGAGTTCAATATTTTGTTGTGGGTGATCAAGCCTCCTCTATCGAAATACTTGGACCATATTTGAAGAATTAACATGACAATCGTTACCTTGGAATGATAGGAAGTAATATTGGGCACCGTTTTCGATAATGCTCTACGTTTCGCTGGTGGGGATGGTATATCGTCACTCAATAAGTCGGCTGTAATATTGTATATAATATTGAAGATAACAAAACATATGCCGGAAGATTAGATTTATTATCTTGTGTAAAATATTGAATACTATAATTGATCACATTACGGGCTAACTGATGCTTTAGTTAACATTAGGTGGTATGCCACATAAACTTTTGATAAAACTTTACCCTGTTGATCGAGCAATGATATCGTTTAATTGTTGTAATTGTAAGTGTATCAAAGCACTTACGTGATAGATCTTGTGAGTTGGCACCATCATCATCAGGTTGATCACTTTCTGTTGAACCCCATCGAAGCCAACTTGGCATGTAATCCAAAACTTTTTCAAGGAGCGTCTACGTTATCAAAATGAAAGAATAACGAAAGAATTTCAAGTTATTCCACATACAATCAAGTAATTAATATATCGTATTGAGACATTGCCAATGGTGTAGAGACTATTGTCGAAGGAATTGTATCTAATATCATGTTTAGATAATACAATTAAAAACGACAGAGATAGTGATATTCTGTTTAGAGTACCACTGGTCGATATTACGCGATTTCAAGCAGGGTGCATCCATGGCTGGCGTTCTACGTCATAGAGGTTTATCAATTAAATGTTGGCAAGTATGCGAAAAGTAGTAGCGATTTTAACATCTACTCGTTATTGTTGTGAAGAGGAGAGGAAGTTCAAGGAAACTACCGCAAGAAGTATATAATTGAGAGATTGTAGAAGAGACGATATTGTTATCACGTTTTGATGTACGAATTTATCACGCCATTCTAAAAAAAGCTTTACTTCTCCAATAACTTACAGTAGATAACATGGTGATGAATATCGAAAATCTTACAAGTTTATAACCTGCAAGATGTCATCAGAATAGTGTAGTAGCAATAGCATTCATACAAATTGAATGTGCTTTCACCCTACGAGCGTATCAGGAATATGGGTCAATGAAATGGCTGTATACTGTAGACACGTAGTAGGATTGCTTGCAAAATTGATCTCACTATTCCATACTATCATGATACTTTGTGTAGGAATAACTACAGTCATTCCTATTTCAATATTAAGCACTAGTCAACGGTAATCCATGTGTAATGTACAACACAGACAAGTTGTGCTTCATCATCGTTATGTAATTCATTGAATGGAGTTGTCTATCCATTGGCCATCATTTAAGTTGTTAAGTACAATAAAAAATCAATTAATCGGGAATTTCTTCACGACTATCGTTGGTATGATGAAGTCCATTCCCTATCTGATTGATCTAAAGTATACAAGCTACGACAATGTAACTATAGCGTTGAAGGGTATAAAATTGGTGGTGATCAGAATTGATCACCGTATGACTATGATCAATGGATTCAAAATATTGATGATTTGGTAAGATGATGTTGCGTTTTGATTTTCTACTGTCATGAATACCGTAGAAAGTAACAACACGTACGATGTTGAAGTTAGCATGTGGGGTGGAAATTGTCTCCTTGTAATGCAGTGGTTTTTTGGCTAGCGCTTATCATCGGTAGTGTAGACATGATGGTCCAACTAGGGAGTTTCTACTGCTGAGAAGACGACTACAGTACGCCAAAATCATTCTCAACATTACAGTCGATTCTACGTCAAAAGAGGCTGATCGCTGGTCTTGGTGATATAAAAGGTGAACATAGAGTGTAGAAAGATTGGCTATCAATCCAATTGGTATGATTGATAAGCACAACGGAAGAATAAAAAGCTATAGGAAAAAGGGACTGTTATCCTCTTGCAATGGTGATGGCTGCACTTTGTCCATCTTACCTTACTCCTATCATTGGATCGTCCACGTTTGGACATGGTAAATGATCACGCGGCGTAAGTCAAATTGACCAAAGCACCACTACAGCATGGAACACTTTTATTAGATATAATCTTGTCAGTCAGTTGCTTGCCAACTGGATCACGTCTACACCAGTACAATGGATGCGTATCTAATCAAGAGAAGAAAAAAAAACAACCGCCAAGAATTAATTGAATTTCCTCACTAGCAATAACTTGATCAAATTGCCAATTCAATGGTTGCAAGTTATTCCATTTTCGACAATCGATGCAAATTGCAATTACCCTTTTGAATCGGGCAGCCCTTGGAATGATGTCGCATGCAGTCGTCGATTGAGAGAAGATTTTAGCGGGTCTAGCGGGTTACTTTGCCGACGTCGAATGGAGAATTGCTGCGGCAATTTTGATTGGTCGTATCGATTAGCGAGCTTAATACGCATGTGTGAACCACTGGAAGGCTTTTCAATCCAATCCCAGTACAGTACCAGTACAGCCGGCTACTACAGTCTATAGTACTGTAGTGGCTAGTCATTTTGGCTTGAGATTGGAATACTCGACAACGCACCGTCTATTTTCAGAGAAGATAGTACTGTACTTTGTGTACTGAACACACTGAGTGTACAGTACTGCAAAAACGGTACAGTACACTTCTAACTGTGAACTGCAATGGCCGATACGTATCGTGCCACCCACGGCCGACGCTAATTTAAACCGGTTCAACCCGCGTGCTAGATGGTGTTTTCGCTGTCCACTGAGACTTACTTGTAGGTATTCAGAACTGCAAAATTCAATTCCATTCTCATACCCGGATGTAGGTGCACCAAGGTATGAGATTTCTCATCCCATGCGCTGTTTAGCAAGCCTGCCTATGCAAGCTGTGACTGCACTGGTTCTCTGGATGAATTAATGGCTGAATCATCTCTACTCTACCGTCCACACAGTCCTGTAAAGCGATTGACTGCTTTATACAGCACAATGGAGTGGACACATAAATCGCCAAACTTAATTGAACAAAGATCATAACATGTATCCAATCATATTCGGTAAATTTATAGTCCACATGCTTACAAGATCCGGGAGAGAACACAAATCCAACTGATAATTTGCTTATACATAATGTCGCAACATCGCCTGTCCTGTAAACTACTGCTTGTTACCTTGTAGTGTACGCGCCATAGAACGTGGGCAATCCTAGATATCGTACATTCAGGTCTATCGTACAATACTCTTTACGGCTTATCTACACCTTATCTACAGTAACTAGATTAATTAATTAATTAAGCCAATCGGAGACAATATACAAGCACCTTACAGTTAGGTTTAGAAAAATGGCACTGGTATTGCAGACAATATTGATGAGAGTATACTGTACAGTTAATCGAGAAGGCTATTTTTCGCAATATTGTATGTGTTTATAACGAGATCAAGAATCTCAGATTTGGAGCTTTCCTTTTCTTTAGTCTACTTTATTTGGAAGCCCGAGCCAAGCGCGATATCATGCACACGTTAACGAGACATCAGAACTGTGACAACAAAATAGCTCTTGTACGAACATAACTTTAATACCATATCCTAATGCACGTGAACATTTGTAGCATCACTAGCATGTGATCTTAATGAGGTAAAATGATTCTGCAGAAAAGCGATTGTACCGTAAGCACCTAAATCACTACTGTTCTTCCACTATACACAGTACAGTACGACTAAACGAAAACTTATTGCCATCACTAAAATGAGTAAAACGCTGGTCTGGTATGAACGGAATGCATGCAACATGAGGACATGCAGCAAATTCAATTCTTTTCTCTTGATAGTACTGTATCGATGAGGATGTTGTGGTTAGGTAGCTTGCACAGAGAAAAGATATTCAATCGTAAGCCTTCAGTAACTCTTGAAACGTTGATTTTAACTTTTAAATGTTCGTCCTTCTAACTACCGTAGTCTAACGCTGTACAACGGGATAAACTCGTAGGGGCAACGTTTCCTAGAGACGTATCCTCACCTACATTTACTATACAAAGTACATGTAGAGAATTGGGACAAAGCACAGGAAACATGGAAATTTTCTCAATTTGGAGTACAATGTTATAGAGCAAACTGAATACTAGCAATAAAATTATTATACAGTGAATAGTACTGCACCTGAGCACCGTAGCTTTTCGGATACCATTGACCATCTTAGCAAAAGGTGAAAAGGAAAAGTACACCGAAATATGACTATAAATTGTCAATATCGTCAGGGATAAGACGACATTTGCTTACCTACAATATACGCGTATGGTGTGATACAACATCAGCAGTTCTGTACGGTAATCTCGTAAGTTCTAGCAAATACGGTATATGCTTAGTATACTCTATTATGAAATAAATTGATATCCCTTCAAAATTGAAAATTAAAAATGAATTATGCTGCAGTACCATAACCTATGGAACACTCTTGGAGGTAAAAATGTTGAACATAATAGCTAGCTAAGAGGGTATAGAAAACATACAATTTTTCAATTTGAAGTAACTGTCCATCTCGTCAGTGCTAAAGTATTTGTTCTTGATATCGGTGTCGAACCGATGATATAATTAAATATTACTGTTAAGCAATAGTTTGAATCTGAGATAATCTATCATTGGTGACAATTGCCGTTATAGGCAATAAGCCGTCGAAAAGTTCATATGCCATATAATTTAGTACTGCAAAGTGTACGCGAAACCATATTATCCTAATTTGTAAGCATTCATGAATACTACTTAGAAGACCTTCGAGATTTTTGAACCGTATCGTGTAACAATATTTTTGAATTTAATTTCGTTAAAATGTATCCCAGATGGAAGCAGTATCCAATACAGAAGGGCCGGTTAAATTCTTTTCTGGGCCATCTTGAGCCAATGCTCCATGAAACTACAGAATTGTAAATACTACTAAGAATGCTTCTGATATCAGCTTTGAGATCGGTAGAAGTTCATTTGAGCTTGCAAAAATATTTAAACTATCACTTGCAGAACTGTAAGCTCGTTACAAGCGGTAGTGCACTTCATATCTAATTACGAAGTACAGTGGAATCGTATAATAATTAATTACTACTAATAATATGTCAAGGTTGGAAAGCAATTGGATAAGCCGAGCACTATCGCTTAATTAATAAATTAAAACTACCATGCTTGATAATTTTTGACTAATCCTAGGGCAAGAATCTCCGTACTCGTAATTGTAGCAGGTTGCTACTGATTCTACATTCTAGTGAGTTAATTTGGCAAGTAAAACAGTCTGGACTTTATTACTGGTTTGCCCTAGCGGAAAACTGCTAGCACTATTAGGGTCGAGAATCTCTTACATCTAATCTGTCCGCGATTTCATTGTTTCAACAAAGTAATGGAAGAAAGCTAGACAAACAACATTGCAGCAGTTTCTGAAGTGTGGATATCTCATCTCAATGCCAAGCATTTCATTTGGCAATGTTTTTTTCGTTCAAAAGAACGACCGAAAAAGGCTCTACGGTACAGATGTAAGTGTAAATATTGTGCCAAGGAAATGGATGGAAAACCTGAACGCATGGTTGGACATGTTATAAGACTTTGTAAGAAAATTCCTGATCATGAAAGGGAAAAATATTGCAGGCAGTATGCACAATCAGCAACCGCTATAGCTTTCGCAGGAAATAGGCCAGTGATATACCAAAATGAACAACCAAAGTACAAACACAAAAGCAATTTTCCACCTTTGAAGGAATTAAAAGGGGACACGGAAAAATTAAATTTGGATTTACTTCGAGCTCTCATTTCAGCAAAGTTACCCATTTCATGTGTTGATAATTACTATTTTTAAAAATTCCTTACAGATATACAATCGAATTACTAACCAGCAAATAGTAATACCCTTGGCAATGCATATTTATCAATACTATACGCTGAAGCATGTCGAAAACGAGATCTTCAGATAAAAGAGAATGATTGTCTGACAATGTTATGGGATGGTTGGACCGATGCCAGTGGATCATCAATTTACACACTCTCGCTGCTTTACGACTATGATAAGTCGGACATATTCAGTGTACGAGAAATATCCCATTCATACCATACCGCCGAAAATATGTATGCAGAAATTACGACAGTTATAAGTGAAAGCAATGTCACATTTAGGAAGATTAAATGTTTACTTACTAATACTGGTAGTGTTATGTTAAAACTTCGACGATTAGCTGCTGATAATCATGCTAACGTCATTGCATTGGTCTGCGCTCTACATGTAATAGATACTATTTGCCAGGACGTATGCAGATTAGAACTTGCCAAGACAACAATGAAAGGAAATTATTCCTTGATGAACTTTATTCAAGCATCCAACATTTGGTTCAACAATGCAGGAGAATGGGAGAATAATCAACAGAATGTCTATCCTTTCCAATCCTTATGTATTACAAGATGGCATTTGATGATTAAAGTTTGTTTATTTGTTAGATGTTACGAAAATTTCTTAATGGAAATTACAACAAAACCTGGCACATCTGAACAGTATCCAGTCCTATCTTCTAACGACACTGATAATCAAGATATTGCAACCATATATCGCCTTCATTTCACAAAGAATGAGGAACTAATAGAGATTTTAAAACCCATTGGAGATGTCATTGAACTTTTGAAAGATCAGAAGGCAAATATTGCTGATATATATCTTCAGATTATTTTATTACATGTCCATTACAAGCAATTGGAACCGACTTCGTCCAATCAGGCTATAAGGGACACTGTGCAGATTTTATCGAAACGTTTTAACCAGTACCTGAGTCATTCAATTTATATTCTCTGCCTATTTTTTTGGCCGAAATATCGTGATTTTGCTGTGAGTAGAAGATTTAATGTAACTTATATTGCTAAAGAAGTGGTTAATATTGCTAAAAGCTGGCGTTTTAATTTACATGCATGTCGAGCACTGTATAGAGATATACTGCTCTACAAAGATGATGCTTTCGCCCCTAGTGATTTAGCCTATACGCCATTACATTTTTGGAAGGCTACTATCAATTATGGACAACCGATAAAACAGTTTACGCGCTGGATTTACAAGCTCAAAGGCCATGCTGCTCTCAATGAAAATTCATTTTTCAGATTTTCAAACGCAAAGCCAATCATCCGAAACGAGAGGACTGTCAATCATTTGCAAATGTACGGCACGATTGAAAGTATGCTTTACAGAGAAATCCCAGATGATCAAAGACCAAGGAAAAGAAAAAGACATGCAACCAATGTGGACCATCTCATTTCTTCTACAGAAATGCCAACAGCTATTGCAGAGGATGAAGCAGAAGTAATTGATTTGTTACAAACACTAGAAAAAATGCTGCAAGAAGATAATACTAATGTTGAAGATGAAGAAGAGGAATTAAGTTTTCAGGCATCTGAGTTATTTGTGGACGACCTATTCGATTTGAATATATTGACCACTATACATGAAGAATCAAATTGGCCTGAAGTTTCGCTTTCTCAGCAACAAGGCGAAGAAGAAATCCAAGAAGATATCGAAAATTTCACATTCGCGGATGTATGTTCCATATAACTAAATAGATTGGGATCAGTTACTATACTGTAGTGACTTATTGTTATCGAATTATTGAACCACAATCGCTATATTTGCAATACATTTGTGTTATACACGTATATGTAAGCATTTGTAATCTACGTGTACTTCCTGGTCTGAGTTATCATGATAAGTAATAATGTATTAAGTGCAGTATAATAGTAGCAATAAATACGCAATCTATTTGGGTTGGTTACTATATATATATTCGTATATGTATCTATAGTTAAACGAAGAGTTCAGTTGTTGTTATCCCCTCCAGCGGATGTTAGAACCCGGGTTATCCCTCTTTTCCTATTCTGAATCAATATACTCTTCTTCCCTAATAATTTGTATGCTACACTATCGATGGACTCTCGACTGCCACCTCCATCTACGAAGGTACCTACTGAAGTAAATGCCGATACGTCAGGGCTAGTAAACCCGACGGCGATAACATCATATATATTAATATAGATGTATATATAGCCCATCTTCTACAGTATATATCTGTTTATCTAATTCTAGATATACTGTATAATATCTCCCATGTGACAGAATTCTATCGATACAAATACTTCAGTTCTGTATTTCTCGATTTTTCATACATACATATATATATATGTATGTAATTTAGAATAACAACCCCATATACAGTATCAATTTAGCCCGAATGCTAATATAGATCTACTGTATATCGCCGATATTCCATACTGTATATCTGGATATCTGATTCTCTCTCTCTATAATCTCTTATGGGAGAGAATTCGTCATGTATGAATTATCATTAAAATATAGTCCGATTGAATACTTATGCAGTGTACAATATTGGTAAATATCTCTTCGCTAATAATACTGCAATTATACAGTGAGTAGACAGTAAATTGGAGAACTGAGTACTTAAAATTATATGTAAACAGTACGCGAAGTGGCCTAAGTGGACAGTAGGCCCAGCCAGAATAGCTCCGATTACTCTGATACTCAGCGTCAATAACAGTACTGTACTGTAGACCATTCATAAATGGGGATATAACGGTCAGTGATACTTTCATCATTTATGGACTTAAGAGCAAGTTTAACTTTCTAACTTTACCAGATTCAGATATTTCAGAATCTCTCCATCAACCTCATATATCATTCTATTATAGCTTTACTGTATTTTTAAAGAAAAATATGGCCCGAAAGTGACAAAATGTTATGAAACAGCCTGTACAGTACAACGAATCAGGAAACTACTGTACACAGTAACGGGGGTTTCTATACGGTACTGTATGTACAGTACAGTACCCACATTTGTACTGAACTGTATTGGCATTTCGAAAGTGCTAAGATTAGTTTACAGTACGGTACAGAAAAATTTCATTTATTACTGTCGAGATTTTAAACTTCTAACCAATTTTACGCGAAAAGTATAGAATATCTAGAAAAATAAGAACCAAATTGGCATTCCTGAGTTCTTAGGCTACAACTAAGTATAGAATTTATGTAGTTTGGGCCTGATTGAACTTGCACAATTATATCTTTTCAGGGTGCCATCGAAAATAATCAGATTCTCTACACTACTGTACTCTACTATAGTTATAACATTGAACATTTCATGACCATGGACCATAGAGAAAAACTTCCATTATTTACTAATAATCAGATTCTGTACACTACTGTACTCTACTATGGTTATAACATTGAACATTTCATGACCATGGAGAAAAACTTCCATTACTTATCTAGTAAAAAAAAAGTGACGTAATGGAATCATTGGCCACTAGCCAAGTACAGTACGGTATAACCCAAGTCAAATAACAGCCTGAACCAAAGGGTTCTAACCCAA